CACCATAGTTTCCCAGTACGGTCAGTCATTTTCGTATAGCTTATACCATTTTTCGACATGCTCATACCATTTTTGACATGCTGAAACCTTCTATTTTTGTTCTATACTTTCTTTAACCAGCCATTCTATTATAGAACAAAAATGTACCATACAATATTCTTTCCTATATAATTATTTATCTTTTCTTTATCCTTTCTTACTAAAAACATACCTTACACCAACAACTTTCTTTACATTTTTCCTAACCTTAGAGTTTTAACCAAAGCAATAAGTTTATATGCAGTGGAAGGGCTTAGATGGGATCCAACGTGGAACTATTAGGGAAATTTAAAGCTATACATAAGGCACCCAAAAAGCACAGTGGTGATGGCTCAGGGTAAAGAATAATATGAGTTTTAATTTTTGTCATGATGTCCCCTTTTAATGATGGAGCTGGACACGTTGGCATAATAAGGAGAGAGTGTGAAATATTTTATTTCCCAGACCACATGGAAGTAATGGCATAGTGAGGGGCCTGGATATAATGCCCTGTAACCCTACAACCAAAAGGGGTGAAGGAAAGAGTGGACCAGGAAATTTAAGTAGAGCTAAGCATGTAGCCCCCGTATTAATAACACATGATATAACCCCGCCAGCTACTGATATTTCCACCTTAGGCTCGGTTGGTGTAATAGTTTGTTCCGAAGACATTGGGGCTACCAAGTTAGGGGCGGGCCAATCTGACTGGAGCAAGCCCAAGAGATCCTCTTTTGAGATTGTGTAAGATGCCTGGTGTCCCTTAATTGCAGCAAGCCTCTGGGCCATGTGCTCTCCTCCAGCTAGGTGAACGAGACAATCATGAGCCCAATGTCCATGCTGTTTGCATTTGGGACAGGGTTTTGCTGGTGGGCAGGGCTTGACATTCTTTGACCATATGCCCATTTTGATGGCATCGGAAACAAACCTGGGAAGGGGGCTGTGTACCCCTTCTGCTATTGACCATCTGGGGTGGAAGATTATCAGTGGTGGTTTTTTCTGCTAAAGTGGTAGATAAAAGCTGAAGTGCTTACTGCTTATGTTGGTGGTCCTGTATTCATTCCTCCTCTTGGTTGTTAAGGATTTTAGAGGCTGTGTCTAATAGCTCTAATTGAGGAGTTTGTGGGCCCTTTTTTAATTTTTGGAGTTGGCGCCTAATACCCGGTGCTGACTGGGAGATAAAATATATAGCCAAAACAGTTTGTCCTTTTATAGAGTTTAAATCAATATTAGTAAACTGCTAGGAGGACCGGTGCGGCCTTGGATCGGGTTACCGGAGGGCTACACTGGGGAACGACTGGAAGGGGAGGATATAGGGATTGAGCTGCCAGAGTAGAGGAGGGTGGGGGCGGGGGAGCCTGAGGCTGTTGAGGCTGCCTGTAAGGGGGGGGCTCGTCTGCAGGGTCGAAATCTGAGATGGAGGAGGGGGTAGAGGAACTGGGACTTACAGTGTCTGCAGTGGGGGGAGGGGAGTTTTGGAGAGGAGGCTGAAGTGTGCATAAAACAAGAGGAGAAGGAGAAGTTGTAGAAGAGGCGGCAGATGCTAGCATGAGTGGAGGGCAGAGATTAGAGGGGTTGCAATTGAGGCAGAGGCGGGGATGTTCATGGAGGAGAGAAAAAGACTGAACATAGGGAATCTCTTCCTACCGTTTTGAACACTCACAGAAATTATACAAGTCCCGAATAATATCAGGATTGAGGGACCCCTGGGGGGCCAATGATTTTGGTTGTCTAAGGGGTATGTTGGCCAATCTTGGGTGCAGAAACGAATTAGGTGATTGGGTTTGCTATCAGGGGAAAGAGAAAGTGTGGTGAGATTGTTTAAGAGGCATTTAAGAGGGTAATCAGCCGGTAGGGATGATGAGCCTCCCACGATCAGACAGGTAGACTAAACAGGGCGTCCCCCAAAGAGTCGGCTGTCCGAAAAGTGTGGCTGTGGCAAAGCCTGTTGTCACAGGGGTTTGGCACAACCAGGGTCCTCCTGGAGAACCGAGGGGGTCAAGGCACCTTGCGCAAGAATTTTTGAACCAGACGGAAAGCACTTGACCGGGCGGCGGGTGGGAGCGTGTTCGAGATTCCCGCCGGTCGAATAGGGCTTACTGTGGGGCAACAAACATGGAGCCTCCGAGGCTCCCTGTTTCCCGACAGATATGGGAGTCCTTCGAAATCCGCTGTGGGCCAGCAGACATGGGACCCCTGGGGTCCACTGCAGCCGACAACCATGGGATTCCTTGGGGAGGTTGGGCGAGATCCGCTATGGGCTAGCAGATGTGGGACCCCTGGGGCCCACTGCTGCCCGTCGGCCGTGGGAAGGTGTGAGAGAGATAAGGAGGAGGAAAGAACCTTTAGCTGTAGCTTGGAGAGAGAAAGGGAGAAAAGGAAGCCTTGAGGGTCCGCTGTGGCCGTGAAGGCCGAGGCGCGTTGCGTTCCCCCTCGCCCTGGGGCCGGAGGGGCTGCCGGACGATCAACGGCCAGTTCCCCCCGGGGATCCTGGGCAAGTTTCAGGCTTCTGTGTCTGGGGAACTCACCTATCCAATGGTTGCTGGTGGATGCAGTTCACACATTCAAAACGGTGGCGAAGGTCTGGGAGGGCTGGAGTGGCCTCTGGCGCCAGGTCGGGGATCCCGCCTACGGGAATACACCTGCACAAAGGCGAGGGAGCACCCGATCCGAGTCACAGCACCAATGAAAGAAGTTCGGCGCCAGTAATGACTCCACACCCGGCCAGGACCAGGAGATTTATTAAAAGGGGCTGTTACAGAGGGGATCTGTAATGGGAAAAAAGGAAAAGAGAGAGTAAGAGAGAGAGAGGAAGTGGGAGAGAGGCGGGGAGAGAGCTGCAGAGAGGGAGAGAGCGACAGAGAGAGAGAGAAAGAGAGATGGAGAGAGAGTCGCTGGGAGAGGGCTGTATTTATCAGCCTGACAGGGGCCGGAAGGGGCCGTGCTATGTTCCTATTGGAGGAGCTGCCTGGGAGCAGGGTGGGGCTAACGCCATGTTATAGTCCTATTGGACGCATAACAAAGCTGGCTACGGATTGGAGGCTTGCAGGTTTGAAATTCGCGCGTGGGAAGGTTCGAAATTCGCACGCGCGGGGAATTGTGCTCACAGAAGCCAGGACCTAGGGCCTTTGTTGTCTGGTGTGTCGGTGCCATTTTGGGAGTCGTCCCTCTGGTCGCTTCCTGCACCCTTCAGTTGGTATAATTAAAGAGTTGTAGAGTTGTTGGTATAATTAAATGAGATAAATGTCTATAAATAGCTTGAAATAGTTTCATGCACATAGTAAAGGCTCAGTAAAAGTTGGGGATAATTGTTACTGTGGATGATGATAATGACAGTGTCTCACTGCTTTTTTCTCAACTTTTTCCATATGTGCCTAATTTTTACTTTTAGCTCTGGAGTAGCATGGGGACCGTTAACTTTTTTTAACTACCTGAAAATCTTCTAATTTTTCTTTAATTCAGTCATGGAAATTTGATGTTTTTTCCCCTAAAGCTAGATTTAACTTTAGGATAAGTGATATACTGTAATTCATTCATAATTACATAGTACAGCATTGAACAAAAACACTGGATATAATGCCCTGTACCCCTACAACCAAAAGGGGTGAAGGAAAGAGTGGACCAGGAAACTTAAGTAGAGCTAAGCATGTAGCCCCCGTATTAATAACACATGATATAACCCCACCAGCTACTGATATTTCCACCTTAGGCTCGGTTGGTGTAATAGTTTGTTCCGAAGACATTGGGGCTACCAAGTTAGGGGCGGGCCAATCTGACTGGAGCAAGCCCAAGAGATCCTCTTTTGAGATCGTGTAAGATGCCTGGTGTCCCTTAAGGGACACTTCCATGATGTCATCAGCATATGAACACCATGGCCATTCTGAACGATTTCTTGTTTATTCTCTCCTGTGTCTGTGTTTCCCTGTTAGGATCTGAAAAACAGAAATGACTGGTTCTCAGTGTGCCCTGTTGAAATGTATCAATTAATTGGTATATGAGTACTTTGAAAATACAAGACTAACGAAGATCAATGAAATTGATTTAAGGGACTAGTCTAAGCTTTTATCATTTTGTAACCTTCAGTTTCTTTTTCTTTTAATAAGTTTCATAGAAGAATTTACAAAGGAATCCCGCTCCAGCTCAGAGGTGAAGTCTGGGCTCTCCTTCTTGAAATCCCTAAAATGAAAGAAGAAACAAGAGACCTTTATAGTGTGAGTAGCTGGAACTGACTTGTTATGTTTTGAAATTAAAAAGTAAAATTCATGTATCTTAGCTTTCAAGGTGATATAAGATGTTCATATCATCACTTAGAGCTATATTAACATTACGTTACATCGGGTTTTGGAGGCCTATTATTTGTTTTGTTTATTGGAATATACTTCTTGAATTTTTAACAGATACTTCAGTAAAAATGTTATTGTCTGTCAGTCAATCAATAAGTATCAAGTGCTTTTCAAATGTAAATGACCAATTGAAGTACTTAAAATGATCACTCAACGTTGAGACATATTTGTAGGGAAAATTGTCTAACACCTGATCATTATTGCTTGTTTGCCCTGTGGTGTTAATGAAGAGACTTGCATTATCACTTTGAGAATTCATAGGAAAATAGCAACAAAATTCGATTCATCCACCACCTGCCTGTATATGATTGTTTTCGTCTAAGGTGAATAAAGAAGACTTTGCCTCCAGATTATGAGGGCATCTCTAGGTTTTATTATTATTTTTTAAATAAAAACTTAAAATTTTGACTGAGGGTATGTAATGTTCTTCTTGACTTTGACAGTGTATGAAATATACCCCCTTGTCATCTCTATTGTGCCTTTTCTGAACCTAAAATTTATGTAAGCCTTTGAAAAGAGTAAAAAAATGTGTATAAATGGAATAAATGTGTATAAATGGAATAAGTTAAAGAGGAATTAGTGAAAAGAGAAAAATCATTTATAGTTTAAGCCAAAAACCAATCCTAAAAGGTGCTTTGGTGCTCTTTTGATTTTTTTTCCTGTGTATGTGTGTGTGTGTATGTGTGTTGTTCAGGGGTAAAATTTCAAGAGGAAAGATAGTATATACTGATATATTTAAAGAGTTACTCATTTTGTATAAATAAAGATTTTTAAATTTAGCCGTTTGGACCCTACACAGACTATGAGTTTATGTCTTGGGATCTTAGAGTTCCAGATTATTTTAGACTATTGATTAGATATTTGCTTTTAACATCATAGTTTTAGAGCCGATTTCTAAAATGATGTTTGCGAGAACATACATCCTGGAACTTTAGCACCTGGTACAATGTGCCTAGTGTGTGGTAGGTGCTCAGTAAATATTTGTGCCATTAATGAGAGTAAAAAGCATTTGTGTTTATATGGTGTGTTTCCTGGGGCTGTTGTAACCAAGTACCACAAAGTAGGCCGCTTAAAACAACAGAAGCCTATTCTCACACAGTTTGGAGGAAAGAAGTCTGAAATTAAGGGGGTGGCAGGACCACTGTCTCCGAGACTCGAGGGAGGGCCCTCCTTGCTTCCTTCTGGCTTCCGGGTTGCTGGCAGTCCCTGGTGTTTCCTGGCTCATGGCCACACCTCTCCGTCTCTGCCTCCTTTGTCGTGTGACCTTCCTCCCTGTGTGTGACTGTGTGTCTTTGTCTTTCCTGATAAGGACACCGCATTTGATCTACGGTCCACCTTCTTCCAGTGGGACTTCACCTTCACTTGATTACGTTTACAAAGGCCCCGTTTCCAGATAAGGTCACATTCATAGGTCCTTGGTGGACATGAATGGTGGGGAGGGAGGCACGGCACACTATTCAGGCCAGCAAACCTGCTGACAGAACGGTAGTTTTCAGTTGTATTTTATGCTTTTTCTAATTAGAAGAAAATTATCCAGTGACCAGGTAGCATGAGAGAACATTTAGTAAAAACTGACAGCAATCACAACAAATAACTTGCCTGCCAGTGCCTTCAAGCATATAGTTTTCAACGCTGTTGTCAACATTCTTTTTACCATTTGCGTTTTTCCTAGCATCACTGTTTAATTTGGTCCTCCTTTCTGGGCACCCCTGCTTCCTCTCCCTCTGTAAAAATGGTAGGCGTTGCTCTCCAAGCATCTGCCATGAACTGGAGCTTCAGTGAAGAAACTACCTTCTCTTAATCTGCTGAGACTTTCTCAGGATGGCATTATTTGGAGCCTGGCATTTCAGAGCGTCCAGACCTTCAAGTTTTCCTGATGACCTGTCCTTTCTTGGACTGAGGCTTGGTGTGAGGTGTTGAAGAGCATACGGCATGAATAGGTGCAGGGTCAAGGATCTTTTCTTCTGTGTTGGAAGAGGTGTGATTGCACAGATATATTTAGTAATAAATACTCTAAAAGTTGCAAAACAAAAACCTTGGCTGAGTTGAGAGAAAGGAAAGAAAAAAAGATCATGCTTGTGGATCATGCTGCGCCTCAGCCTCATGGCGCAGACGGCTGAGGGGGCTTTATTTCCCAAAGAGAGGAAGAGGAGGGAAGAGTGTTCAAGGCACGCTGCAAAGACCTCTCCGAGCCCCTCCCTCCAATTTGGATAGGATGAGTTTTAATTTAAAGCTTCATATGGCTGTATTTAAAAGTTCAGGACGTACTTTACCTTTTCAGAGCTGACATTAGTTGAGTATTTTTTTTTTTTTTGAGTCGGAGTCTCACTCTGTCGCCCCGACTGGAGTACAGTGGCCACTTCCAGCCACCGCAGCCTCGACCTGCTGGGCTCTGGTGATCCTTCCGCCTCAGCCTTCTGAGTAGCCGGAATTACAGGCGCGCACTACCCTGCCCGACTCATTTTTTGATTTTATTGTAGAGATGAGGTCTCGCCTGCCCAGGCGGGTCTCGAACCCACGGGCTCAGGCAATCCACTCACCTCAGCCTCGCAAAGGCGCGGGATTACAGGCTGAGCCACCGAGCCCAGCTAGTTGAGTATTTTACATGTGGATTTCCTCATTTAATTCCTGCAACAATGCCAAGACGCAGGTTAGATCATTAGCATCAGCATTTTCATTGGACAGATGAGGAAACTGAGCTTAGTGCAGTTAAGTAACATTTTAGCCCAGGGTTAGCAAGTGGCAGAGAGGATCTAAATCCAGGCTGTCCTGTCTTCTGCGCCAGTGCTTTCCTTGCTGTGTACCTTATTCTTGTTGTGTCTCATTTTCATGTGTCTCTCTTGCGTCTAACAGTGACACAGATGGTGGAGGATCTGTCTATCATAGAGAGCGGCCTCACCCCAGCCTTGGTGCAGCTCCGTAGTCTTGTAGGCTCAACCCATGTTGCTAATACTCTTGTTTCATCTAAGTGCTGGCCACTGCATTTCTGCCCTCAGTTTAAGAATTCATTAGATCTCATATTTTAAAAATAACAATGTGTAGATATTATTGTGACACTTGTGGACGTCAACCCATCCAGTCTCAGAGGCAGCTGTAGAAGCTGTTTACCTCCTTCCATTCAGATTTCCTGTATTCTGTGCATTCCTTGTAAGCACTTAGGACATAAATAATACTTCTGAGCTGGGCTCGGTGGCTCAGCCTGTAATCCCGCGCCTTTGGGAGGCTGAGGTGAGTGGATTGCCTAAGCCCGCGGGTTCGAGACCTGCCTGGGTAGCGAGACCTCATCTCTACAATAATCAAAAAATCAGCTGGGTGTAGTAGTGCATGCCTGTAATTCCGGCTACTTGGAAGACTGAGGCAGAAGGATCACCAGAGCCCAGCAGGTCGAGGCTGCGGTGGCCGGGAGCAGCCACTGCACTCCAGTCTGGGTGACAGAGTGAGACTCCAACTCAAAAAATAAAAAATAAAAAATAAATTAAAAAAATAATACTTCTGACCTATTATTTGTTACCTATTTAATTGGGCTTTGCTTCTGACACCGGGCCTTTTTTATGGTGGAGTTTCTTGTCCTCTAGAGAAGCTGATATTATAGAGGTGTTTGGATTATCTTTTCCCATCCAGTTAAATTTTACTTTAAGACTTTTTTGTTAAAGGCATGTCTTGTCAGACATTTTCTTCCTGCGTTTCGACAACCCGTCTTTTACCAGGAGGCCTACAAAGTAATAATTGAAACCTCTTTACTTGCCCATTGTTTTTTTAAAAAGGTATTAGGAGAACAAATATGTGTGGATTATTATTTTCAAAACTAAGTTTTTGTAACGTCTTCTGGACCAACTTTTATCAGAAGTAACATGCAAGAATATTTTCATGGTCACATGATTGTAGCACAGTTCTGTAAATATCTCCCCTGTCTTCGGAACTCGGGAACACGCTGTGGTTGTGCTTCCTGTTTTAAAAAGTTACAGAAGCTGCCCTTCTCTGAGCTCCCACCAAAATACACAAAAGTACAGTGACTCACAGAACGCTCAGTATACACATAACCCATTCCAGATGCACCCAGGTAACCTCTTTCACTTTTAGCTGAAGTCAGAAAGGGTTGTGTTTATTTGTGTGTGTGTGTGTGTGTGTGTGTGTGTGTGTGTGTGTGTGTGTGTGAATTGATTTAAGCAGAAGTCTATATTACCAGTACATGGTAAATGGGTCAGTATAACATATGTATATAGATGCTTATTTATACTTAAATATGGTTAAATTTTAATCTCCCATCTGGTTCAACATGGGAGATTAAACATCCTCATTTAGCTCCCATTCCCCTGAAATGCCACTAAATTGACAGCAGATTTTTAAAAAGGCAAACCCACAGAGATGAGAAGATGAGAGAAGTGATAACAGCTGCCAACTTTTGGAAACCAGACCTCAGACAGACATTTAGTAAACTTAGCAAACCTGAGAAAGCTAAGTCCTAGGCTGGCAGTGGGAAATTGGAGAAGCAACTTGATTAATATCTCAGAATCTTCAAAGCCTCGGTAACTGCTAACTGCAGGGACCCTTGGAAGTGAAGGTGAAGCTAAAAACAGAAGAGAGTGTATCAGAAGCAGGGCTTCTGAGCCCCTCCCAATGCTGGCCAAGAGTGGTGGTTGGTTCTTTGGAGAAGATGGAACAGAGGGCCTTTACACTGGTAGCAGACACTGCTAAGGATGAGCTGCTGGCATGAAAGCAGAGAAGTCGAATATCCCAGATTTTGGCCAGCCCAGCCCTTTTCCTTAACTTGGTTCCTGGGTTGTTGGCAGCCAGGTGCTTGTTCTTCTAACAGGAGATTGGAAGAGCCACCTCTAGCAAATGTGTCAGCATAAGAAAATACTGTAAACCCAAAGGCACTGACTTCAGTGAACCTCAGTGCAACTGCCTGGCAAGATCCCTCCACAGGCAAGACCCCAACTGTGAAGCCCCACCTAGGCATGCAGCTTTTTAGTGCTTCGCTTCTAAATAAGAACAGAAAACAAGTTCTTGCCATTCATTTGTGGAAAGGAGCTAACATGAAAGACAAATGAAAGAAATGGACAAAAGCAACTTGTAAGAAACAAACTACAGAGCAAGAAGAAAATAATCACTAATATCTTTAGAGAAATAAAAATAGATATTGCATTTTTAAAACAAGCAGAGGATGCTATAAAAAGGAACACTCAAAAACAACAGGGCTTAAGAATACAAAAACAAAATAAATGAAAATCAAGAAAAATGAAACACTTGATCGAAAACAACAGTTGAGGAAATTTCCCATAATGTAAATTACAAAGGCAAAGAGATAGAAAATAATAAGAAAATAGATAAACAGTCTAGGATATCTCACACTGTAATACTTAAGAGTTTCAGATGGGAGTGAGGAGCGGGGAGGATAAGGAAACTGACAAAGGAATTATTGAAGAAAATGTCTCAGAGCTGAGAGAGGTAAGAGTTTTTAACCCTTTGCACTAGGATGTCCCCTCTGAGGGGACATTGTAAATATAGCAAACCACTGGGTTGCCTCTTCTCAGGGGACATAAAGAGATTGCTGGTGATTATACAGAACAGACTCGTGCCAGTGAAGATTTTTCAAAAATATATGTTTCCTCGAAATTTTCCATTTAAATTACATAAAAAAGGAAATAAAGAGGTGAAATATATCCTGAGACGTATGTAAAAAGAAAAAAATCAGCTGGAGTTACATAGAATGTGTGAAGTGCTTTCACAGTGGTGCTGACACTTCTTTGTAACAGAAGGTAGCGATAAAGGGCATTTGAATAAGAAAGGCAGTAGGGGTTTGTATCATATGGCATAACTTGAAAAGACAGATTCACAAGTTACTGGAGCCTTAAAAGAAAGAGACTTTTGAAGTTGAAGGTAGGTGGTATTGATCGAATATATCTATCTGTACTAAATCAGAAGAGTAAAATTGGAAAAGTAATATTCTTTTGATAATTCATGCCATGATTTTGTCATTTGCAATCGGAAATTTTTACTCATTTATTTAGTTTTCAGAACAATGGCAAATTGAAAAGACAGATGTGCGAGTTATAAGAAGCGGCAAAGATGAATTCTATTTAGACTTTTCTACAGATAGAAAAAATAAACCTTGACGTGGAAGAAAATGGTAGTCATGATAGTGATATCATCCTCCCCTCCAGGATAATGGGTGCAGAGAAGATAGCACGTTGTCGGGTGAAGAACGGGAGGATGTTACAGAGAAACACGGGCCTCCAGCGAGAATAAATTTTGTTGCATATTCTCATACAGCAGGACCACAAGTAGCAAGTACTATAAGAGAACCAATTGACTATATTACTCTGTGTTTTACAAATGAATTTGTGAATAGTATAATAAAATAAGCACATCATTATGTGGATGAAAAAAATAAAGAAAAAGCAGCCATTGCACAAATCGACTTGGCATAAATGGTAGAACATTGACCAACAGGAATTTTCAGCTTTTATTGCAGTTATCCTAAATATGGGACTAATTCAAGTACCAGATTTGCAAGAGTACTGGTCAACCGTTTTCAGTAGTAAAATGCTCTTCTTTTCAGAAACATTCAGTAGAGAAAGGTTTATGCAAATCTCCTGGAAGCTTCATTTGAAGACACCTGTGTCAAGTGATGGGACCATCGGAACTCGTGTTCAAAAGGCCAATAATTATTCTGAATTCATCAATTCAAAATTTTTGCAAAGATCAGGCAATTTGTGTTGACAAATCTGTTGTTCAAGTAAATGGTAAATTTCTTTTATAACATACAATCCAAATAAGCCTACCAAATGGGGTGTATGCCTTTATGCACTAGTTGATTCAAAAACAGGATATCTTTTTTCAGTACTTCCCTACTATGGCAGCATAACATCCGAAAGCATCATTTGACCTGATCTTCCAGTAAACACCAGCATTCCATTACAATTATATAAAAAGTTGTTGGAAAAGGTTTCTAATGCAGCGGGATACTACATGTGTACTGACAGATATTACAGTAGTATTGTCCTAGCAGAAGAGCTACTAAAGATGAAATGCCATTTTAGTGGTACAAAGTCAACCAAAGGGAATGCGAGAACAAATTAAAAAACTGAAGATCTTAACAACAACAACAACAAAAAAAAATAGGAAAATAATCTTAAGCTTCTTGCATGGAAGGAGAAAAGAATCATTAAAGTTCTCAGCACTTGGAATCATGCAGGAATGAAAGCTAACCCAAGGACATTATGTGGTGGAAATATATCAATCAAAAAGTCTGAAATGATTCTAACTTATATTGCAAATATGAGCAGTGTGGATTGTATGGATCAATATGCTTCTACATGCTGTTTTTTGCAAAAATATTTTAAATGGTGGAGGAAATTATTCTGGGGACTAGAAATATGAATTATTAATTCCTATATTCTGTACCAAGCTTTAAAAAACAATGGAAAACCTATGATGCCCCATTCGAAATTTGTCAAACTTCTGATCTACCAGCTGAGAAGTGGTTTTCAGGATTCACGAGTGTATCCTTCCAAATCATCTTCAAACAACAGACGGGACAATAAATTAAATATTATTAATGTGGGAAGAAGAAAACAAGAATACGTTGTCTGCTCAAATAGAAAAATACCAGGTGGAAGACGTCCTGCAAACTACTACTGCATTACGTATATCAGTGAGCCCACAATGCTTGTCAGTGACTGTTTCACACGTTATCAAGTTAGAAAAATATAAGATGTAAAATTTTGATTTTTTTTGTCTTAAATAAGTTCCTCGATGTCCGAGATTCCATTATAAGACAGATACCATTACAACATAATAATTGTTTCCAGTGCTATACTATTTAATATGAAGCAATTCATCTTTCACTGTTTCATTAAAAAGTGCAGTCAGGTTGCTGGTAGGTGATCAGTGAGATGTGTCCAAGTGCGGAGGGTGAAGATTGAAAGGATGCATCAAGTGCCCAACTCTGTGGATGAAAGTAGATCTGAACCAAGTGAAGTTTCAAACATGGAGAGAAACAACCTTCTAGAGAGAAAAAACAAATTGCACATGATTCTTCTTCTCTTGTTAGGAAGCAGGCTCCCAAGAAGAGAGGCAAGCAAAGAGAAGCCCAGCAGATGGTGAGGGAAGATCCCAAGACCGAGCAATTCAGCTGCCCCAGAGGCCAGGTGGTACTGAGGCCAGTCCGTCCCTGAGGTCAGGCCATCCTCGAGGCCAGTCAACCCAGAGGCCAGGCAGCCCCAGAGATCAGGCCAACCTCGAGGCCAGGCAGCTCAGAGGCCAGACCGCGCAAAAGGCCAGGCAGCCCAGAGGTCAAGCTGCTCCTGAGGTCAGGCCGCCCTTGAGGCTATGGCAACCCAGAGGCCAGGCAGCCTAGAGGTCAGGCTGCTCTTGAGGCCAGGCAGCTCAGAGGCCAGGCCACCCAAGAGGGAGAAGGTCTGATAGCCCTGGGACAAGATCTCCGAGAAGATGATGAAGCCTGTTCTATTGGAACATTGCCACAGGAGATGTATACAACTTCTAGTGGGTTTGGGGTGAAATTAGCCATAAGTATGTAGAAAACAAGCAAATCAAGAAACAACGCAATGTTTAGCTTCAAGGAGAACAAAAACATCATGCTTGAAAGAGAAGAGACGTCTAGCAGACCGCATTGTTTAGCCATGAGGAGCTTTCACATTGACTTTGTAACACAGTCTCCAGAAAGTTCTCTATCCTAAATTAAATTCTGACTGTATGGACAGGATGGGAGCGAAAAGAGATGAAGGGCGAGGAGGGGGGTAGGATAAATGTGGATGTAGGGCGGAGGGAGCATTTGTGTCATGTACTTTCTGTAATGTTTTGATTTTTGAACCATGGGAATGATTTTTCTAAACCAACTTAAGTTTTTAGTGAGAATTATTTCACTGTTTGTCATAGACTTTTCAACAACTGATTTCCATAAAAATAGACTTTCTTCCCTTTTTTTCCTCTTCAGAAATTAAAACACAGAGCCCGGGGCTGCTCACCTGATATCAGGCAAATAGACCTGGATGTGAACCGCACGTTTAGGGACCATATCATGTTCAGAGACAGATACGGTGTTAAGTAAGTAAAGCCGGGCATCATGACGTGTGCGTGGCATTTATAAACAGTCTGCATGGAAGTCGTTATTAACCTAAAGTGTATTTACAGTGTCTCTATAGACTTTAGTTTTGGCTTTAGCTTAAAGATTTAAGCTTTTGCAGGTCATTTAAGTCCTTGTTGGGTGAAACTTAGGCTCTAATTTAGCGTAAATTTTTTAACCTTGGACATAGTAGGTGCTATGAAATTGATAAAGAGTAATTTTATATATGAGAATTCTTAGAAAGTCATATTATTATTAAAAGTCCTAGAAATGAATGATTGTGTGAAAACTGTCAGTGAGAAATACATTTCTATAACCTTGATTCCTTGCATAAATGAACCTTTATAAAATGAGATACACATGAAATAAAGTGGGAGATTAATGAACTGAGTGTAAGAGTCAGGGCAGCCATCCTGCATGTTGGCAGATCATTGCTATGACAACTTCCCAGGATCCAACAGGAGAAATAGAAATCAGTAGATGATGTATATTAGGAGATTTATTTTAAGGTGTTGGCTTGTCCAGATGTGGGGCTGATGAGGCAAGGCCACCAGATGGGATAGGCTGGGTCCTGGGATGAGCTGAAGCTGCTGTCCACAGGCAGAATTTCTTCTTTTGGGAGGCCTCCGATCTGTTCTTACGGTCTTTAACTGACCTAATGAGGCCTACCCAGATTTTCTCTCTCCAACTTGAAGTCAGCAGATTTTGGATTTTTATCATGTCTGTAATAAAATCAGTAAAACTGATCTGTCAACTGCCCCAGCCAGTGTGGCCCCCTCCATCTCTGCTGTTGGGTCAGAGACATAGGCGCCCGCAGTGCCAGGCTGTACTTCCAGCTTCCAGCTCAAAGGAGTCTTGTCGTGTCTCCTGATGGAAGCCTTCCTCCTTTGGAACTAAGATCTCCAGAGCAGCAGAGCCCAAGGCTGCAGGCACAGGAAGCAAACACGTTGCTAGCGGACCACTAGGGACGATGGGGAGTGGGGCCACTCCTGTTTCTCCCCTTGGGATCTTGGCTCCCAGAGTCCTATAGGAGAAGCAGCACCTTATGTGGGAGCTTGATAGAGAGCACCTCGGGCTTCCTGGGGACATTCCTAGCCTTAAGGAACTGCACCGAGTCTTCAAAAGGACATTCCACCATTCTGTCAAGCCAGCTGCTTGTATTGGGATGGCTTCAAATTAGGAGACTTCAACAAAAGAGAGCAACAAATGTAAGAAATTTGGAGCTTAGTGGGTTTTTGTATAAATTCTTTCTATTGGAAGGAGTGTTAAGTAGTCTCAAATTTGGACTTTTTAGAGTATTCTTTCAATTTGAGCTTGGGGTAATTTCTTTATTACACTAGTAATTGTATCTAGATTAGCTACTTGTTTATAGTTAGCCTGTGGTTTATTATTTTTAAATTTGTAATCTTAAAAGTCCATAAAATAACCAAGTTGTGTTTGATGTCACCTCTTTCTCTAGGCAACAATCCCTATTCCATGTTCTTGCTGCATATTCTATTTATAACACGGTAAGTTGGAACACGGCTGCCCTATTGTACTCCGAGGAGCCGGAGGCCTGTTTCAGCCTCCCGTCCAATAGGGCCCTCTGGGTGCATTTCTTCTTCTCAGAACCAGATGGTCGCCACAGTCTCTGAGCTCTGTGGACCTTTTTAGGCTGTGACCCTGTGGCAACTCCAGAGTCTTAGAGCAGAGCTGATTCAGATGTGACCACAGTATGCCAGTGAATCTCACCTTTTCCTCTCCCCGCAGATGTTTTGTTGTTGCTGTTATATTTTGTGTTGTTGTTTTTGTTGTTGTTTGTTTTGTTTTTGAGGGCATGGACAGGGCAGAAAGACAGGAAGCTAGTGGTAGCCAGGTTAATGTTTGCTTGCCTTTTTATAACTTCTCCTTGCTCCTGAAAGGTTGCCCTTCATTATCACATTTTATCTGTTAGGTAAATAAGGTTCAAATAAGATAACATACGGATTCACTGGCTATCCCAGGAATAGGCTAAAACTAAACTCTTTGGCAATGGACATGGCTTTAGCATTGTTAGAGGAAAGTATAATCCGGGGAATGGTTAAGTAGTGTTGGACCTAATATACGTGTTAAATAAATACTTGTTGACTAGGTCCCAGGGAGGACAACCTTTGGATCTTGGGATGTATAATTTCTATTATGATTTAAACCTTTAAGTTACAAGAACAGAAGCTCACTCAAACTCGGGAAAGCTGAAAAGGAGTTTATTAAAGGGACGTCTCACAGAAATGAAGCACTGGTTCATGCAAACTGAGCTGGAAAGTGGGAAGCATCCAGCGAGAAGGAGAGCTAGATATTCTGTCTCCCACTTGGGCCGCTCGGTGTTTTGATTATTTCTTGAACTGTTCAGTCCATGGTCTCTCTCTCCGGATTACTTTGTCTGCTGGCCAGTTATCATGGCTCAGATTGCACCCACAGACTCAGCATGACCATTCTGTTCAAGTACATGCCCCTATCTGATCACAGTGTCTCTGGCTTTGCTCACATTTCCTAGAGAGAGTATCTGATTAGTCAGTTCAACTAACTAACTGTTCCCCTGGGGTCAGGTGCCCACTTCTGTTGCATCGACTGTGGTTTCATGGCACAAACATGAGTCTCGAAGGCCATGCCAGAATCAAGGACTTTGAGGAGAGTGGGTATTTCTCAGAGAAGGGCTTAGGCTGTGAACCCAAAATGTATCTACATAAGGGTTCAAAAGTCTAGAGGGGACAAAAGAGCAAACTGGAAATTGTAGGAGGAAAGAATTTGCCAGCATCTGAGCAAACAAGAGGACTAGTGAGCTAAGAATCATGCCCCAAACGAAACAAATATTAGTGCTCGTTAAAGAAAGCATAGCAGCATTGAGCAGAGGACAGTACAAAAGATGTAGGAATTTAGACTTATGTCTAAATTTTATTCCTTTATAATACTGTGAAGATTGTGACGTTTATCTCGAGAATTGTCCATTTAAAAGTGCCTAGACATTTTCTGATACTCTGTAGATCAGTCTTTTCTCTGTGCACACACACGATGTGATTCTAAGCTCCTGGTTTCCGGCTCCTGTTTGCTCTCCAGGAGGTCGGGTATTGCCAGGGGATGAGCCAGATCACAGCTTTGCTCCTCATGTACATGAACGAGGAAGACGCCTTCTGGGCCCTGGTCAAACTCTTCTCAGGCCCCAAGCATGCCATGCACGGTAAGAAAGCCCTGCCTGTTACCCAAATGACAACCAGGAGAGGGAAAGGTGAAGAAGCACAAAACCAAAGATGCGTGGGAGAGTTAAGGATGACAGACTTTGAGCCTCGGGGCTTGTTCAGTTATTCGGTATTTGTCACAAATGCCTGCTTTCATTTTTCTTTATTGAACTTTTCTGTTCACATTTATTTTCTTTTGCCTTTACCCTAAAGTATATTGTTGGCATTTTAAAATTTAAAATTACCCTCAGTCAAAAGAAGCTAATTTAGGTTTGAATGAATTTAGGAAAAGGTATATTATTAGGAGGAAAAAAAGATGGCTTTTGATCAAAACCTTTAGATAATCATGCAATTATCATTTCATTGAAATGTTGACCATTGACTGGATATTGATGTATGACTCCTTGTCAAAAATAGTAATCGAGAAATGACACTTAGGTCTTTAAAGGAAAGGTACATATTAATTAAGTTGTGTTATCTTTCAAATATAGTTTTTAGTTGTTTCAGCTGTAAAGTTGGCTCCATTTTAGATTTAAAAAAAGGCTGGTAACCTATTCTGGATGCTAAATTATTTAATGTTTCAAAACTTGCATAATTTTGATTTTCAACTTAGCATATTTTTTATAATCACCTATAAGGGTATTTGCTAAACTAGGCAATAAACTTTATTCCAGAGTTTTGATTGCAATAAAGACTTATTTAGTCTTGGAAATAAAAGTGACATTTGTTCATGCAATGCAACATTATTTTTCCAGTGCCATCCATGTGGTAATATCAAACTTAAACCAGTCTTAACACTGGTTATCCTAAGAATGTGGTGGGAAACCTGCCATCAATTCAAAGTGCTGTTTTAATATTTCAAAATTATGACCTTCCGTAGTCTATTGTCTGTAATGTCTACTCTTGCCATGTGGTTTTGTGGGTGTGTTGTGGGGGTGTGGGAGGTGTGTGTGTTTACATTTGTCTTTCTCTTGGTGTTCCTTCCCAGTTATTTTAACAAGAATGATCCATATTGTAACTGTCTCTGGGCACATCACGTCCTGTAGATGGACTCCAAAAGCAAGACATATCATTAGATTGAGTTGCCGTCCTGTAGGCAGGTATCATTTCAAAAGGCATCTTGAAAATCAGCTGCTCTTTATCAGTCTCCATTTTACTTTCCCGTGCGATAGTGCTGCTTATCTATCTACAGTTTAAGTGTTATGTAATTATGTGGGAGACTCTCCAACTTTAGAAAGCAGTCATTTCTTTTCAACCTGTTTGTAGCTTACCTCCAGCGATTATTGTCACCAGCCTAATCTATAAAACTATATTAATTCTTCTGTCCTAGCATTTATGCTTACAGTGCCATTTAGCTCATTGTTATGGGTAAGTTTATACTTGGAGATATTTGTTTCTCTGTGAGATTTTATAACTAAAGGTTACCTCAGTTCTTTGCATTTCCAATATGAAAATTGAATAAATGTATGGAATCAAAGCTAAGGCCGAAGTAAGATGGAATTTAAAATATTAATGCTGAAACATCACTGAAAAGTGAAGAAATGTCAGGTATCTTAGCATTCTTGAACTAGTTATTACTGAATTGTATTGACTTTTTCAAAATTAGATTTTTCTTGAAATTTTTCCAACTTCCATTCCTATCAAATTGACCATGAAAGTGGCACTGATAGAAATATATAGTCTTTTTTATGAAACCATTTTACTGGAAAATATTGCTGAGGAAGGAACAGCATCTCTCTCCCGGGAAATGTTTACACACAACTTAGGAAACAGAACAAGTTAAGAAGTTACTCTGCCCAGTAGATTGTAGAGCAGTGTTGCCCAGCACTCTGTGCCTCGGGCTCTTCAGGGAAGTAGAGTTCCGTTTTTTGGAAACAGATGTTGGGGGGGGTGGGACGGGAATGGACTCCAAGGTCAAGTAAGTCTGGGAGACCAAATAAAACAATGAAAAATAAGTTTCATTCTAAAAGACAACTGAGAAACATTAATAATAAGCTAATATGCATCATGAATAGCCAAGAAGGGCACACAGAACATTGCCTCTGGATTCTTTTTCAACAAAATAGGACATCTGTCAACATCTTGCAAAGCTGCATAGAACCCGAATTGGAATATACTCATGTGGAGAAATCGTCAAGTTCATTGAGTGTACATCTATGTTAATGGATTGTGTAAAATAGCTGAAAGGAAACTGGAGAATAAAAATAGATGTAAAGTTCAGTGCTTTTAATACACAAAATTTATACTAATTTACCACTTGCAGTTAGTTAATTCCTAGATACTTATAGATTATATTGTATAGTCACTTGGGATAAAATATAATTTGTGATATATCATTGATCTTCTAGTGCCTGGATTCTTTTTTTTTTTTTTTTTTTTTAATTAGAGTCTCACTGTGTCACCCTGGAGTGCAGTACTACACTCATGGCCACCCCAGTGTCGACCTGCTGGGCTGTGGCTATCCTTCCAAGTAGCTGGAACTACAGTCGCATGCTACCATGCCTGGCTAATTTTTTTTATTTATTGTAGAGTTGAGGTCTTACCAGGTTTCCTAGGCTGTTTCCGAACCTGTGGGCTCAGGTAGTCCCCTCACTTCACCCTCCCAAAGTGCTGGGATTACAGGCTTGAGCCACCGTGCCCAGCCGTGCCTGGATATTTAAACAGATGTTAAATGCAGCTTTAGAGAAATAATTTTAAATAAGGCCGGGAATGGTGGCTCATGCTTGTAATCCCAGCACTCTAGAAGGCCAAGGTGGGAGTATTGGTTGAGCCCAGGAGTTCCAGACCAGCCTAGGCAATATAGTGAGAACTGTCACTACAAAAAAATTTATAAATAGCCAGGTGTGGTGGTACATACCTGTAGTCCAAGCTACTTGGGAGGCTGAGGCAGAAGGATTGCCTGAGCTCAGGAAGTTGAGGCTACTGTGAGCTGTGATTGTGCCACTGCACTCTAGCCTTGGGCGACAGAGGGAGACCCCAGCTCAAAAACAAACAAGCAAAAAGATAAACGAGCAAAAAAAAGTTGGAAACATGACATTAATGACATTGTTAGAGCAGATCTGAAAAAAGCAATAAAATTTTTGTAATATATTAATAGCAAAACAAAATGAAAATTAGTTAGAACAACCTGTATGAATATTTAGGCATTTAAGATATGACCCAGCCAGGCTCAGTAGCTCAGCCTGTCATCCCAGCGCTTTGGGAGGCCAAGGTGAGTTAATTGCCTGAGTTGCAATTAGTTAATTCCTAGATAACTTGGTGAGACCTCATCTCTATAATTAAAAAAAAAAAATAGTCAGGCATGGTAGCACTTGCCTGTAGCTCCGGCCACTTAGAAGACTGAGGCAGAAGGATCTACCAGAGCCCAGCAGGTTGATGCCGGGGTGGCCATGAGTGTGCCACTGTACTCTAGTCTGGGCAACGGAGTGAGACTCTAACTAAAAAGAAAAAAAAAAAAAAAGATACGGCTCCATATCCTGAAAAAACAGATAACCTTGATAAATAGCTTCCGTCCCCCCCCCCCGCCTTTTTTTTAAGCATCTCAGTTCAGAAATATTGTGTCCTCTTTAATATGTTTACAGGGGGCAGAGGAGATCCCCACACAAACATTAGACTAAAAATTCCCTACCCAGAGCTGAGAGTCAGTTATTTCTTTGGTGGGGAGAAAAAAATATTTTGGTAACTACCAGATGTTTCTTTTTGTTTTTGACAATTACAAATGAAGGAAATACGTTGCATTTTTAAATCTTGGGGGTTTGTTGATATTGTTTATGAAGTGTATTTATGTTTGTTTTCTAGGCTTTTTTGTCCAAGGTTTTCCTAAGCTCTTGAGATTTCAAGAACATCATGAAAAAATACTGAATAAATTTCTTTCCAAGCTTAAGCAACATTTGGTAGGTAGATATGACTATGCTCACCTATCCCAAGAAAAGGCTAGAATAGTTAAATGCAGTCTTTGGTCCCAATTACTTTATTAATTGTTATTGTCATCCATTTCATTTACTGTACAGTTGTAATTCCATTCTTTGCAAAATGTTAGATTTATAAAATTTATTATTGATGGACTATCACAGTTCTAATTCATAGATTCAAAACTTCTTCTTTGAAGCAAAACAGTGTTTAAAGAATTGTGATTTCTCAGTTATTTTAGAGGGTTTTTTCATTGCCCAAAAGGTATTTCAAGGATCATACAAATTCATTCTTATTGAACTGTATGTATGCTTTAATATAAAACACAGTAGTTTTATATTAAAGATTGATTGCTGTAAAATGTGTCGAAGATAATCTAAATGTTGTATTACAATCCTGTCATAAGAGAAATTTATTCTTGGAGTGATTTTGAGAAGTAAGATTTTGGGAGAAGTAAGAATAGAAAAAATTGAAAGCATGAAAAAGATTTGTAACAAGGTGGTTTTATGTTTAGCTTTGACAGCTACATTCAACAGCCCTCCTAACTTTTAGTTTTGCGTTGTCATATTGTGTTTGCTGCAATCCAGAAATTGTGAGGCCTTTGTTTTTTCAGGATTCTCAAGAAATCTACACAAGTTTTTACACAATGAAATGGTTTTTTCAGTGTTTCCTTGATCGTGTAAGTATTTATTTACAGAACGCAATCATACGATTATAAATACAAGATGAGGGGAAACTGTTAACCTTATTTCTATTTTGTTTTGCTTTTAATTGTAGACTCCCTTTACACTAAATCTCCGAATATGGGATATCTACATCTTTGAAGGAGAACGAGTTCTTACTGCCATGTCTTACACAATCTTAAAATTACACAAAAGTAAGAAAATGCTTAACTGTAAAGATTTTGTAAAAAATCAAGGCATATTTCAACCCTGATTTCTCATTCCCCGCCCTATTTCAAATTCATTCTTTTAGCAGTGATGTAAAAATTACTGAAAACCAGTGGAGAAATGATCTTCAGTTGGTAGTTTGCTTTCATTGGTTCTTTCCCATAACCGGAAGCTGATTACATTGCAGAGATTCTCTTCTCTTTCTGTCGGTGTCATTTTCTCATGTAAGCAGAATGCAATCTGTTGGTTTCGCTAATAATATTATTCTTACTAAGTGTTTGTTTCCCTTGGGACCTGTGGTTTGTTTCATCAGTCTGAATCTCAAGTTTGCAGTAGGAGAACAGAGACCAAAGAAGCCAAGCCCCTGAGTTCAAAGGGCTGAAGAGAACATCCTCTATTACCATTCCCTTCCGTGATAGAGGATCATCAACTCCTAGCTGGGGTTGGGAACGTCAGGCTGCCCCTGCTTGCCTGCCTTGTGGCCCCTGGGCCAGGAACAGAGTCAGTGTCTATCGGTATATAAATGCAGCAAGATCTTTTTTTTAAATGAAGACTTTTTTAGTCTTCAGTTGTAATATATCGAGGGTCTGTAAACTTGCCATGCTATGCCTTACTTTAAAATCAAGAAATGAGAGTTTTTCTACATGAAGAACCTTATTCATCTTTAAAGCTCAATTTATCCTTAAAATTTATGTGACTTCTCTTGTAGCTATGGAGAGAAGAATATCCTTGAGAGCTTTAGAACTTCCTATTGTACGTACTTCTAATCTGGGTCATCCCACATAGTTTCACATTCATTGTACACTCATTCTCTTAGTTATTCTTGAACTGTCTGTTCGGCTACCCAACTAAATTAGAAGCTAATTGAGGGCATGGGGTCATGTTTATAGTTTTTCTCTCTGCTGTGCTTGACATTATTCTACATACACATTAAGTACGTTAATATAAGATTGGTTGCTTACTTGAAAAGCACAGACTGCTGGAGTGGGAGATTAACCCTACTGTAGAGAGGAATAAAATGCCTTTTAAAAGCACCTTTGTATTCCTTCCTTTTTTCAAGAAAAGGACTCAGAAGTGTTGTGATTCTTCTGTTCCCTCACGTTCAGTCCTTGTTTCCCCAACACACAGACTGAAGCACCAAAACAAAACTATGGACGACGAACTGTCTCCCAAGACTTGGGGTCTGGCATGTAACTATGTGGAAGCTTTCTCTTTCTTCTTTTCCCTCTCCTCTCCCTCCCCCACCTCCACCTCTTCTTCTTTCCCTTTCTGTATTATGAGTGGATCGATGTATAGAGCAAAAGTAGCATTTTTATTAAGAGAGAGAAGCTTAATGTTCCCTAAACAGTGAAAAAGTATAAACAGAATGTTCTGTTTCTTCGTAGCTCTCTTCTCCCTCTTAAGTTGTTTTCCTCACATGACCCTTGATTCATTTTGACAAGTAAAAAGTTTTTTCACCCTTTGTGAATAAATGTTAAGCATAGCAACTGCTTTATATGCCACCATATCATTAGACTAAATTAGCAGTGGACAAATCTGTCTGCTACTGTGTATTTCTCACAGTTAGGGAATCAGAGGACTTACATGAAGTTCCTTCACCACCAAACAAAAGTGAAGGTGGTAGGGGGTGGGGGGCATGAGATGTTGACGGAAGAGTGCAAAGTTTCAGTTAGTCAGGAAGAGTACGGTCTGAAGATCTATCATGCAGCCTGGCAACTGGATTTATAACAATGTAGAGTGTACTTGAAAATTGCTAAGAGTAAATTTTAAACATTCTCATCACAAAAATGATAAGAATATGAAGTAGTGACATGTCAGTTAGCTTGATTTAACCATTTCACAATGTATACAGTTGGTCATTGGCCAATTATAAAAATTAAGAACAAAACCCAAAGCAAAAAACTTTCTGGGCATCTTAAATAATTGTTAGCTGAGGCTCATAGGAGATTTTTTTTCTTTTCTTTTTTTTCTCCCTGATTGCCTTACAAATACATTGTGAATGGAGGTTACACTGTAGTTTTAACTAGTAAAACGTCAGGAACAACGTAATACCCATACAGATTGAATCAATTACAGTACAGTGTTCTCTTATTCAGCTATTAATAATGATGGTGTAAAATAGTATCAGTTGAAGTGAGAGATATCTGTGATACATTATTGAAAAGGAAAAAAGCAAGAATGTGAATGACTTGAGAAGTAGATTTTACTTTTATAAATGGATACACATAAGCCCATCTCAGTACGTACACACATCTGTTTGTAAGGGATTGCAGTGGGATCTTACTGGGTCTTTACTTTCTGCTTTGTGTCTGTAGTTAGTTTGAAATTGTTTTTCAATAAATGAATTTCATAAGTAGAAATAAAACTCAAAAGATGAATAATCCAGATTTGGAGGAAATTCAGAAAAGTCATAAATATGAACTTAGAAGTGGATTTGCCCATGGCCATTGCAGCTGCAGTCAATGAAACAGAAAGGCCTCCTGTCCCCTGACTGGGCTTCCTGTGTGTTTCTCTAAGAAGAAGCCCTTGCTCTGGGTTACTGTTAACACCTGGATACGGTTATTCTTAAACCAGTGAGACGTTAGTTGGCAGTATTCTCCCACTCCTCTCCCAAACAAGCTTACCTGCTTTTCTTGGTGACTGTTCTAATATCAGAAAATATTTTTGTCTTACTAAGTTGTAATGCTATTCCTGATGCCACATGTAAGTTGGATACCATATATGCCCTTTTTAATGCCCTTTTATAAAAAGTCCTATACCTGAATAGAATATATTATATTTTCAGCTGAAAGGAGCTGTTGACTTGGCATTTTTATTTCTCTCATCCTTTCTTAGAGCATCTAATGAAATTGTCTATGGAAGAACTTGTAGAATTTCTTCAGGAGACCCTAGCAAAGGATTTTTTCTTTGAAGATGATTTTGTAATAGAACAACTTCAGATCTCTATGGCGGAACTAAAGCGGGCAAAATTAGACCTTCCAGAACCTGGTAAGAAATACCCCAACACTTTATGTTGACATCATAATTAAGATCAGAAGACATGATCATCAGGAGACATAGAAAGCAAACCCTCACAGCAAAACTGGAGTGTGGGCAGGGGCCTTGAGAAGTCATTGACTTTGCTAAGTGAGGTCAGCCCTCTCCTGTTCAATAGGAAAATCTTCATTTCCTGCTAATTCTTTCCAGTACCACAGAGTGTATTTGGAACAGCCATGACTATACTCTTGTTACCTTAACATTTATTTTTAAATAGCATACCTTCTTTTAAAAAGTTTACGGCAAGTTTTAGTAAAAGACACATATAGAGAAAAAATAAGTTGTAGAACTCTTTCAACAGAAGATTAAAATTCAAAACCTGTGCGGGATGATAGGGATTTAGCATCTGATTAGCAGCTACTATTTATTGGATGCTTAGTTTATACTGCCACATGCTACAGTGCTCCCTCATTTCAGCGCTAAAAGTTAGGATCAAAAAAGTGCTCGTCCTCATTTTACAGGTGAAGAAGGATCCTTGTATTAGGAAACGATGAAGTTGGGGTGGAGAATGGGGCAGGGCTGAAGGGAGAGGAATGGGTAAGTAACACCAGAAACCCTGGCCAAAGTTTGCTCTGATCACAGGGCGTCAGGGCAGACTATGACAAGGTGGCACTGCACTTTCTAGCACAGTCATCTGCCATCTGTATTTCTGCTACTGCAGCCCTGACTTCTGGGACTTTTTGCCCGTTGTCCTGCCTGTTATTATCCTCTTTAAATTGCTGTGAACTATATATGGAGCATTAAGATAACTCAGGGAACACCATCTGAGAAATTTTTTTTTGTTTTGAGTTGGAGTCTCACTCTCGCCCAGACTGGAGTGCAGTGGCCGCTCCTGGCCACCGCAGCCTCAAGCTGCTGGGCTCCGGCGATCCTTCCGCCTCTGCCTTCCGAGTAGCCGGAATTACAGGCATGCGCTACCACACCCGGCTAATTTTTAATTTATTGTAGAGATGAGGTCTTGAGTTGCCCAGGTGGGTCTCAAACCCGCGGGCTCAGGCAATCCACTCAACCTCAGCCTCCCAAAGGCGCGGGATTACAGGCTGAGCCGCCGAGCCTGGCCATCTGAGAAATTTTAATGTCATGTCTGACCTCTTAGAAACACGCATGAGTGTGTCAGTTATTTGTGACTCCTCACACACCACATCACCTCGTCATCCCACCAGCCAAGTGTAACGGGGCCTGTTCTCCTAGACCCACATGGAAACATGCTGGGGTTAAATTTTTAAATTTTCTGCTGATCGGATGGAGTATTCCATTGTTGTTTTGATTTGCATTTCTTTCTTATATGTTTATCGTGCATTTTTATTTATCTTTCTGTGAACCTCCCTGTCTATCACTATCCTTTATTCAGGGCGTCTGTTCATACAACATCTTGTAAGTTAAGGAGACTGTCCAGTTTATGTGCCATGGACACTTTTCATCCAGTGTTCCCTATGGCTTCTTGCTTTTGGGTCTCATGTAAAGAATATTCCACACACTGAAGTTTTTAAAAATTACCTATATTTCTCTTATAATATTTATATCTTTATGCTTCGATCTTTTTTTTTTTTTTTTGAGTCGGAGTCTTACTCTGTCGCCCAGACTGGAGTGCAGTGGCCACTCCCAGCCACCGCAGCCTCGACCAGCTGGGCTCTGGCGATCCTTCTGCCTCAGCCTTCTGAGTAGCCGGAATTACAGGCGCGCACTACCACGCCCGGCTAATTTTTTGATTTATTGTAGAGATGAAGTCTCACCTGCCCAGGTGGTTCTCGAACCCGTGGGCTCAGGCAATCCACTCACCTCAGACTCTGAAAGGCACAGGATTACAGGCTGAGCCACCAAGCCCAGCCGATTCGATCTTTTTTTAACAGCATTATTGAGATAGAGTGAAACATGAGTAAATCTTGAGCTCATCTAGAATTACTTTTTGTTATGAGATAAGAACTTAACTTTGCTTATTTTCCAAATAGCTATCCATGTGGATTAATGGCATTTATTAAATTATTATAATTAAATTAAATTAAAAATTGACATTGTGTTCTATTCCATTGACCTCTACTTTTCCAGTTACAGACAGTTTTAATATCTATCAGGGCAAATATCCCTCATACTTTGTGTTATTTTGACAAGTTACAAAAAATAACCTACTAGTATTGAAATGTCATATTTTGCTAGTATTGAGACTGCACTGAATTTAAAGATTTTTAAGGGAGAATCGATAGTTTTAAAATTGGGTTTTTCTGAGTCAACCTTTTGACTTTTTAGTTGCTTAAGTTTCCTTGAATGTCCATCCCCCAGGAGATGTGAAAAACGTCTGTTACACATTTCTCACCTACGTACTCCACCCCCACTCACAAATGATAGAAAAGCTAGCCATCAGCAGAGGGTCACTAGGCAACCCAGGGTGCTACAGACCTGCGGTCTCACCACCACCCTTGTCTCTGAGGTGGCTACACAGGCCCCAGGCGAGACTCGGGCAGAGGGAAGGCTGGGGCGCCCGAGCCCCATAGTGTTATTTTTTTATTGCTATTGTAAGTTGAATCTTCCATTTTTTGTAGCTAGTTAGGCAAAACTGTTGGTATCTTTTTGATATTATTTTTGTAGCCAGCATATTTGAGCCATTCTCAGGTTTTCCAAGATTTTTGATATACAGTCATATCTTCAGCAAAAATAGTATTTTCCTCTTTCTTTTCAATATTCATGCCTCTTAATCTCTTTTTCATCTCAAGAAAGTGCCCAGCCATTATTGTTTTGCTAAATTTCTTTTGAAAAATCAAAGTGCATGTTCAATTTATTTGAAAGCCTTTTCAACACAAATGAGATAATTATTTTTTTTCTTTTAAAAACCTTTTAACATGATGAATGTTGTTAATATGTTTCCCAGTGCTGAACCATCTTCACTTGGTTGTGATAAATTATTCCTTTATAGTACTGCTGATTTATACTTGCTAATATTTTACTTAACATTTTAAATTGTTATCCCTAAGTGAGATTTTATTGCAGTTAACCACAACATCAGTGTATTGTCAGGTTATATGGCTTCATAATTTGGAAGCTTTCCTTCTTATTATTCTGGAACTTTTTTTTTTTTTTTTGAGTTGGAGTCTCACTCTGTCGCCCAGACTGGAGTGCAGTGGCCGCTCCCAGCCACTGCAGCCTCGACCTGCTGGGCTCCGGCGATCCTTCCGCCTCAGCCTTCCAAGTTGCCGGAATTACAGGCATACACTACCACGCCCGGCTGATTTTTTGATTTATTGTAGAGATGAGGTCTCGCTGCCCAGGCGGGTCTCGAACCCACGGGCTCAGGCCGTCCACTCACTTCAGCCTCCCAAAGGTGCGGGATTACAGGCTGAGCCACCGAGCCCAGCTGGAACTTTTATGTAGTATTAAAATTATTCCTCAGTGGTTCAAAAATATATTGTTTCAGTCTGATGTAATTATTTTGAGGGAGTTGCTCTTTGATAACTTTATTCTTATCTGTTTGTTTGTTGTTTTGTTTTTTGCCTTCTGAGGTTAATGTGGGTCATTTGGTCATTTATATTTTCCTAGAAAGTTGTTTATTTCTAGTTTCTTAATGTATTTATGTAAGGTTTGAAAGTTATCGCTTATGGTTCTTTTATCTTTATAACTATCTTAAATTTTCATTTCTAATTTTATTTGTACGGTCTTCCTCTCTTTGATTAAATTATTCAGAATTTAGTCTTCATGAATGACTTGTATCAAGAATCACCTCTTGAATTTGTTAATTCTGATTTTCTTAGTTTATTTTTCTTCCGTAAAGTCAAATTCTTAACCCTTGCACTCGGAGACATCTCGCTGATCACCTACTAGCAATTCAACTACCCTTTTTAATGAAATAGTGAAAAACGAATCACTTCCTATTAAATAGCAGAGCGCTGGAACCAATTATTTTATTATATTGATATGTGGCTTATCGTGGAATTTTGGACATTGACGAACTTATTTGTGGCAAAAAAATCAAAATTTTTTATCTTATATTTTTCTAATGTTTGGTAACATGAAACTGTCACCAACATGCATTATGGGTTCATTAATACATGTTGTGCAATAGTAATTTGTTGGATGCCTTCCACCTGGTATTTTTCTATTCAAGCAGACAATGCAGTCTCGTTTTCTTCCTCCCACGTTAATAATACATAATTCATTGTCCAGTCTGTGCACTTCACGCATTCTCTTTCTATGTAATGCCAGTTGATATTTTTTTATGTGTATCTCAGTATATATTCCATCTCTTTATTTGCTTTTTTGTGCAATTTAAATGGAAAACTTCAAGGAAACATACAGTTTTGAAAAATGTGTGCTTACATAAGTTTGTTCTGTATAATCACCAGCAATCTCTTCCCCTGAGAGGGAACATCCCAATGGTCTGCTAGATTTCTGATGTCCTCTCAGAGGGGACATCTGAGTGCAAAGGACTACTTTATTTCATATTAGGGGGAATGTTTGTAGCATAAGTGTTTAAAGGCATGAATTTTCCATCACTGTCCCGTATCTGTGTTTTTTGAAACAGATTGTATATTTTGTCATTGTTACCCACACTGCCTACCATTTAAGTTTTTGGTTTTCGTTGACTGAATTTGTTGAAGGGAGAGTTTTGTGAATTGCGCGTGCATGTGTGTGTGTGTGGGGGGGGGGCATCTTTTCTTTGAACTTTGCTTATGCAAACTGTAAAAAAAATAGAAAAATATGATACAGAAATTACAAATGAATACCTACATGCCCACCTCATAGATTTAACTATTGTTAACATTTTTCTGTATTTATTTTATCTATGTATGTTTTGTAACTGCTTGTCGGAACATTTTTGAAAACTTTTTTTTATTGTGGAATTTTTCAAGCATATAAAACAAAAATAGGGAAATGTACTCATCACTCGGGTTATTGCACAATATGTAAGCGAAAATACAGACATCAGTATACTTCACTCTAAATACTTGTTTGTGTCCAAGAAA